GACTTACTCGATATATAGTAGATAGATTTTCTTTCTCTTCGTATGTTTCCACACCATCGAACAAAGCGAAGGTTTTTATCTTCGAAATCTGTAAGTTTGTTATTGTAAAAATTACTAAATATACAATTTCAGTCAAATAAATTCAAACCTTGTCGATCACGAAGCGCTTCATTCCGTCATTCAACCATGTCAGCTTATCGAATGAATCATTCACAGTTTTCTTGATTTCATCGACCATATTGAGAACCTGCGGTTTTTGAAATGAGAAAGAAAGCATAATTAGGGTAGCATAGAAATACGTTCGTTGCACGTTTCTCAACTTCACTTCTGCTTTGGACTCTGTTCCTAGATGTCCCTTGCTAAATAAGCTCTCTATGACACAAACTGAGTCCTGGGTCACTAACTGGTTGCATTCTTATTTCTCAAACAGAATGCAGTACACTGTATACTAAGGTAAATCCTCTCTGCTGTGCTGTACTCTCTCCACTTCTCTTTTCTTTCTTTCTACGTGACCTATCATCTTCAAATGACATTAATTTTGTTAAATTTGCTGACGATCTGACTGTATCTTTGCCTACCAAATGTCAAAGCGAATGCTCCAAATTAAATGACTTTTTATCCGAAATCAGCCAATGGTCCAAGGAAAACGGTCTTGCCTTAAATCCCTTTAAAAATGTCAAACAGTCAATTTGACCTTTAGGCATAAATCTGACCTAAACAAACCGGTTAGAGCTCACGAGGTGTGCAACATAGATGACACTGAAATAGAGACCAAGTTGGAAATTAAATACCTAGGCGAAATTCTATCTGCTGACCTTTCCTGGTCGTCTCATATCTTGATGATTTCTAAGAAAATATTCCGTCTTACCTTTTACATCAAGAAGTTAATATATTTTGAAATTACCCAACCCTTACTCTTACGATTCCTTAACTCTTGCATCCTTCCTATTAATCTCTATTGTTCCCCCTTAGTTTTTCCTGGGCTACTGAAGAAAGACTATATCTTATTACGTACGGTGTTAAAGGTTGTCAGCAGGGCAAGCAGCGTGCCACTCAACTAGCTGGTTAATATTCTGGTGGACAGGCACTTGGACTCATGTGAAAATGGCCAAAATCCATTTTACTAACTCACACCACCCTCTCCCTTGTATCTCATCAGCCTGAACCAGAAGCCTATATAGAAAACGATATGCCCGCACTAGCAAGTACAAAAACTCAACAATACCCTACTTGGCTCGTTCGTGTTCTGTGCGATGAATGAAGCATCAAGCGTGAAAATTATAACTAATTAAATAGTCAGTAGAACAACTGGATCTCGTCTTTCCAACTCACATCATTTATAGCTACAATGTTTTATTCCTTTCTTTTCCTCTTCTCCCTCTCTCCTCTTTTTGTTATGTGCTGTTTTGTTTCTCTCTTGCTCACAAACTCTACTTAAAACATTCTCCTTCTTTCTTTCACACTCTGTATATCTCGACCGTTTTGTTAACGCTTACGCCAGTAAATATGCTCGTATCTACTTTTCTAACACGTTCAAAAACTGTTCAATTTTGGCTTGCTACCGACATGCCAATATGTTGTTGTCAAAACTAATTAAGATTACACTTAATCTGTGTAGAAATTTATTTATTGTTAATGTACAAACTGGATGCAATACTGTAGCGAAATGGTGAGAATTCCATTCTGTATCACAAGTACTGTTTTAGAATAAAGCAAATTATCATCATTATCATTATTAAATATGAAGCCGGTGAATGCAGCTGTTGATGTAAGTCTGCAGTAACCTGTTGTAAATTTTATTCGTGACGAATAGTGCAAGTCTCTGACCCATTTAGAAGGACTAACTTGGTGTTTTTATTGAAAATTCGAATTTCGTTCTTCATGCTCCAAAGTGCAGAAGACTTCCAAACTGATTTCAGAACGAGATGGTAGTGTGCTTTACCTTCCGTTTTTCGCTCAGATATCTTCATCCGTTCCGCCTATCTTTAAAACACTGCTTCTTAGATACGTTTAAGGGATTGAACTCTCTCAAATTTCTCTCGTCCATTCTGGTTCTTGCCTGTTGTTGTTGTTGTCGTCAGTTGATGGTCTTCATCTCCTTCGTATTCCGTATATCCACTTGAAGTCAATTTTTCATGCTTGTTCTACCGGTTAGCTGGTTTTCTCCTGTAGAGCTTGTAGTTCATGTGACTTTGGACTTAAGACATCCGAGAAGTCGTAATCTTCTTAAGTCTTTTAATCTGCCTTACGGACTCCTGTCTTGTCGCGCTTCACTCACAGTTTGATGCACAATACAGTTTACCGCCGTTAGGAATATAAAGTGTGATAGTAGTTAACTCTATCCTACTCCTGCCGTCACTTCAGAGCCTTAGATGACTTTCCCACCATCGATTATCTTTATAATATTATTTCCTTTAATTTCAGACGCTCGCCGATCATCCACATGGTCCGGGGTTGAATCCCCGGCCGACGCACCCTTTGACCTCACTAAGCCAGTAGTAAAACTGGTAGATAGGGAAGGATGGGCATGAGGCTAGCAACCCCGCCCTGTAAAATAAATAAACTTCAAGCAACTAGCTTGAAGCCCTATGTTCCACTGGGGAACGTGAGGGAAAAAATTTCCTTTAATTTCCAGAGGAACATAGGGCTTCAGCTGAACATCTCCATTGCGTTCAATTCTCCACCAGCGTCTTCACCTGGCTCCAGTCTACCCACACGATCTCATCTCCTCTTCACATGGCCTTCTTCAAGTCACCTTGCAATGACGACCAACTCGCCGCTTCCATTCAGTCGGTTCTACCCGATGGCTTGTCTAGTGATGTCTTGATAGTTTGTTTCCTCAGAGTATGGCCAGCCAATCCATCTTCATTTCTTCCTGTCTATTTGCTGTACAATCGGTTCCTGGTCGGTTCTCTCATTGCCAGGGATACCTGTTCCTGATCTTCTCTGGCCGGACATCTCATCTTGAGTGGTATTAAAAGAAGGCAGGTGTTGATGAAGGTCTGTGGTTTGTTTGAGTTGCTCTTCATGACGCGCTGGTCAAGTCTCTGCTTCGTGCATTGAGTAGTACTGACTTCATATTGGAGTTAAAAATCCGGATCTTATTTTTCGTGCTGAGTACTGAGGTTGGTCCCACACAAACTTGAGATTAATGAAAGCTTGTCTTGCTTTCACGACCCACGCTGCTTTGATATCCTCACCAGTTCCATCCTCCGTAGTTGAAACGATGCTTCCCAGGTAGGTAGTTAGGTAAGTAAATGAGGTTGTTTCTTTCAGGTTCCTCCCATTTATCCTGGCTGATTGTTGTCTGTTGTTGTTCTTGCTGTGGCTGTTGATGTTGGCCAGGAATCTCCATTACCCACCTCTGTTTTCTCTATGTTCACCTGAAGTTTAGTTCTATCTGTGATGCTTCTTCTGCGAACTTGTTGCTTTTCACTTGCATATCTTCCAGCTTGTGAGGAATGAAACATATATCGTCGGCGAAGTCAGATACTGCAGGTTTTCCTGGGGGTCCATTTTATGCCCGTTTCCCAACACCAAATAACACTAAATAAATAATGAGGGTAAATTTGAAACAGTAAGCTTATTTCTTTTAATATTTATGGACAGAAATGATCACATTTCTTGTACTTGTTATAAGTACTGACTGTCATGATGCTTTCGGTTCACGTGGGAAAATAATTTCAAAAACTCTGACTTATACAGACAAGACAATGGAAGTAAATATGAATTACTGGACGAACCTCATTTCGTTGACTTTCTTTCAAGTACTGAGCAACGTAATGTCTTTCAAGAGTCCATGGAAATGTTTCTTTCAGTTGTTCGATACAAAATACTGAGAATTTCGGACTCAAACCTTTAATCAGAATAGACAAGACACAGAAATGTTTTGAAAACATACACCAAATTGAAACACGTTAGACGAATGATTTTTAAGAAACAAGTCAGTAAGATATCACGCATGCTCCATCGACTTCAACCATAACATGTTTTACTTATTCGGACGCAGAAAACACTCGGTACAATGTGGCACCAAGAAAGATGCGCCACACAATAAAAATAAAACAACATAGATGAAAAGTATAAAAAAAATGAGAGAAAATATAAGTAGAGAACGGATAAAGAACTTCATCTGGAAGGAAAACAGTCATTCGTTAACTGTCATCGGGAAGGGAAGAAAGGAGCAAATTGCAACACGTTTGCCATTAATTACGATTCTTGGCCATATCCAATAAAGTTTCGAGATATCGATTCGAGCTATCTTTCGGACCCCAACCAGGGAGTCGTGACGCACCAAACGAAGCTAATCTAGCACAAACATCCTTCATCCACGACGCCACGTCATGGACTGACCACCTCTCCGCCTTTTCCACCCCATCCCAGGGCTGGCTAGCGAACAGGCACCTGTACAGAAGCCTCCTATGGGATGACATTCCCAGCCCACGTCCAACCCACCGGAGCCGGTGTTTCCAGATGACGACATTCAATGAATGATGATCTCCACTGTGTTCAAACACACGCCACCGAACCTCAGAATGGCTCACGCGATGATGCAGTCGAACATAAGCAATCCTGCGGAGACAGCGATGATCAAACACGCACAGTCACCGCACATCCTCAGCCTACTCGGAGAGGCCAGGTTTCACCGGCTTAGCGTAGAGAAGACAGCCCACCCTGAGGCATTGTATACCTGACCTTTGACAGGCAGGCTAACGTCGCGACGGCGCCAAGGTAGCTCAAATTCATGTATGCCACCCTAGACTTCATTATACGGTTGGAAATCTCATCTGTCACCCTCCGCCAGCACTCACACAACTACCCAGATACACAAACTTATCAAAAACTTCAAGCGGTTCACGCGCAAGAGTGAGTGTACATAAATCAATGTTGGAATAAATCAAATCCTCACTGAAAGCACGATTTATTTCACTTATCATCAGACGAAAACAATAGTTATGACGTACCTGAGTCCATCTCAGAATTCGCACTTTCTGAACTGTTCACTCAAGCCCAATAGTGTTAACGTGATATGTCATAAAGTCCATGATAGCCATATTCTTAATTGTACTGTAGAAAAGAAATAAAAGTAAGTGTTGTCATTTAGTTTCAGCTGTAAACCGTATGAAGCTACTGCGTATAGCTCCATATCGTATGCTTATTTATTTGAACAGCAGCAAAATTGAGTCACGAAATCAACAAAATCTCGAATTGTCGGTATGTGGTAGGAAACTAGTCGAACACCCTGGAATAATGCAGAAAATATCAAGTCGGCATGATTTGTCCAGTCGTATTTATCTGTGATTCATTCATTCATTCATCGGAATTGACGTTTCATGTGATAATACAACGTTTCGTACTGCTAGTGTATATTTGTGAACAAAGTACATTTTAAAATTAAAACGTCTGCTGTACAAAATGAAGCCAGCATAGTTTCCGGAGAAAAGTGAATTGGGAAATTTACATTCAACAAAATTGATTGCATCAGACTATTGTCACAATACCAAACAAATTAGACACATGGATGTGTACATTCTGAAAGTGTTGAGGTTACCTTCTTAATGAAGGTAACAGTCGAGGGATAGAACAAACCAACCAGAGCAAAACAGCTGTCTAATACTCTCAGGTTTTCTATGCTTCTCTAAATGAAATAGTCCCTGACCAATATTATAATGAAATATTTGAACATAAGAGTCCAGTTCATCTGTGAAATATTGACCGTGTTCAAACTGAACAAAATACAAATTTTAATGAACTTTTCAGTAAGTGAAAAAGTCACATTGTTTGTATCCACCAAAGCATGTCTTTATAAAAAAAGTATTTCTTCAGTCTTATTCAGTGGAACTAATAAGTATGAAGCTTACCTTTTACCAGTAGGTGTTGACAGTTCAATTTCATGTAAGGCGCAATGATATTTTAACGCTGTTGTGTCCGCTATACTGATTTTGAATGTTTGTAATTTTTGAATCCAATTTGTCGAAATAATCTTTCAAACAACTTTTTCCAATTCATCTTAACATGAATGTACAGAAAAGTAAAATGATTAATGAATTCGGTGGAATTGATGAGAGTGATGTGAAATGTGACAGACTATTGATTACCTAATATAATTTGAAACAGTATTAAGTCACACAGGGAAACTGAAATTAGGGTTTCTTTAGTCTAGGATTGATTTTAGAATACATAGTTTATTTTGTTTCATTGGTAAACTATGCTTCTGATCTGACAGTGTTCTGGGAAATATTCAAAGATATGATAGAGAAGATTTGTAGCTCAGGTTATGGTTTTGATGTGGTTATGTTCTCTGAGCTAGCTGGATAGTTAATTTGCGAAGCTTTCGTCGCCCCTACTAGGCAACATCGGCAGCACATACTTCAATTCATTGAAGTGAGCTTTTAGATTTCTCCACCAGTTTAGTGATCATCTCTCCTAGTGGGTGACCTTCAACGTCGTGATTGATTGTGTTGTGTGTTTTCACACCCTCTAGGCAGCTACTTGTATTGGAACTGATTGTTTCTTTGACTTGAACTTTGACTCTTTGTATTTGTTAGGTTTCTTTCTTAACGGTTGATAAATTTCGTCTATGTCGATGTGTCTATTGATTGATGATTCACTGGAATACCAGGCAGGCTTCTAAAAATTCTCAAGGATTCTTTGTGTTTCCTCTGTCTAATATTTGAACGTTGGTTATCCCAGTCGAATTGATGCCTGTGGTTGTCTGTGTGTAGTGATATGAGTGGTGGAGTGGATATCATGTCTTTTGACGGTTAGCTTATGTTCGTGGATACGAAGACGAAGGGGACGTCCACTTTGGCCAATTAGTGTTTTTCTCAGTTGTTACAACTAGTTTTGTAGATGATGGTGGTACTATTCAAAGAGAACAGTGTTCACAAACAGACGGCTTTTGAGTTGAAATTCCTCTAAACAGATTTCCTTATCAGTTTAGACAAGAATAATGATGCTACAAGATTTAAGAAACGACTATTCACCGTTTGCCAGATTACAAACTTCATTTACTGATCTGGATTTTTGCAGATCCATTTCTCTTTTACTTTCAAACAATACTGATCTTAACAGTTGACTGAAATTCCTCGTACCCCTGAGGGATTTCCCACCAACCAACTATGTGACTAGTAAATGCAGGAAATTTTTAGACTGATTCCATGATGCATTCTGTCCTAACATTGACTTGTCTGTTTTCAGTTCTCAGTCAGAATTAATTTGGTTTCTTTCACTGAAGGCACTACCTTCTGTCTGAAGTCATTTAAAATATTGAAATGTGTTGAAATGAGCTGGAATTCCTCAGAATCACATAATCTAGAATCCTCAAATCAAAATATGTCACCTGCGTGACACCGTTACAGGCGCAAATAAATGAAGAAAGCGAAATCGCAAGTTGACACATCCCACTGCTGATTTAAGTAGCTTGACACCACACACACACACACACACATGTCATCTAACATTTCTGGCCAGTCTATCTGCTGTTTATAATTCCCTTAGAACTAGATAGTCAGCATTTATAGTTGACCCGAGCTCGAATAAATCTGAAATCCCTCTAGTTGGAGTACTTCATCGCTTTGCATGCTTCATTCATGTGGATTCTGTACTGAATCACGCACACTTTATATTCATAAATGTTACTAGACACATCAGTCAGTATAAGAAGGTTACACTAGCTGCACGAATCTCAGTTCACTATTCACTCGGTTCAATTTGATATCCACATTCATCGTATTTAGTTCATCTGATGCTACAGGTCTATAAAGTTTGTAAAATGAATGCGTTTCTATATGTGCCTTTCAGGTATTTAATCTCTCATGAGACAGACTCAGAAATTCACTATATTTATTTCAATAATTCTGTCTACAGATGACCTCATCCATGACATTCCTACCTAATAATAATCTTACAGTTTGTCAACTCGTGCATCTTACCTATTCTTCTTTACTGTTCACCTTACTTATTCTTTCCTGGATTGCTTAAAAGAAAGACTATGTCATACTTCGTAGGACTATGAAGACTGTCAGTAGGCTAGTGGCTGCTATCACATTGGGCTATATCGTTGACATTGTGATTGATAGGCACCTGATGTCATGCAACAAATTCGCCGAAGGAATTTTGTCAGACTTTGAGCATCCACCGCAGCACCCGCAGCTCCAACCTTTTGTCACCTCCTCAGGTAAAACAAGAAGTCTTTTCAGAAGCCTTTATGCACGTACGTCTAAGTATAGAAATCCCTCTATACCATATTTCACTACACGTACTTTATATGATGAAAATAGTGTCAGGCATGAACTAACTAACCTCCTTTGTACTGCTAAATAAACCATTTCCTCCACCCTTACAGTATCAACCTTTATTGTTATTGTACTTCTTATATATATATAGTCCTCTCAATTTTTCTGTTTTTATTTGTTTATTTTTCATAAGTGTGAACATCATTTAAGCTGTGTTATAACTGTTAATTTTGTATTTCCCCTCACCATGCTGGTATATCAACAGAACATTAGATTCAATAATCTACAGTGACATGCTAAAATTTCCAAATTGAATATACAATACTGTTTGAAACAAACTCACTATTATTAATAATATTCTTATATTTAATATTCTTAGTTTGTATTTCAAATATTTTCGACTTTATATAATAAACGTGGACAAATTCCTCTGGTTAACTTTGTTTTAATTTTTATTTTATTTATATTTTGAGTAAATCAGATGCAAGGTGTTGTGACAAATGCTGAGAATTCCATTCTGCATTATAAGTACTGTTCGTCTTGCATTAAAGTAGAGTGTTATTCCCTGTTGAGCTACCATGGTGAAGTATAGAAAAATCGAAGTATTTACAATGCAATTTTTAAAAAAAAGTATAAATTGGCGGCTGTATCTACTTACCAATGGACAGATTGCCTTCAATTCCCTCATTTTAACTTCTTTATGATATTCAGTTATGTCGGATTTCCTTGCAACATACAGATTCTGTAAAATTATCAGGTACATTGATGAAAACAAGTCATGTTACCTTCATAGAAGAATGAACAGCTTATCAATGAATGCGATGAAACGAAATCTCTTACTTCACTATCATTTCAGAATAGGTTTGCACGGAGATTTTTAAGGGAAGACACCACCACATCACGGTGTTTTCTGTTGTTTGCAATTCACTTTTATATTTCAGTAATATTTGGTGTGAATATTATTATTATTATTTCCTTTAATGCCTAGAGGAACATAGGGCTTCAGCCAAACGTCTCAATGGCGGTTCAGTTTTCTGCTAAAGTTTTCATCTGGCTTTAACTCTGCCTACATGCTCTCATCTCCTCCTCACATGACCTCCTCCAAGTCACCCTTGCACTGACGACCAACTCGCCACTTCCTTTTTTGGTTCCATTTGAGGGCTTATCTAGTGATGTCACTTGATAGTTTGTTTTATCAGAGTGTGACCAGCCAATCCACCTCCATTTCTTCCTGCTTATTTGTGGTACAATCGGTTCCTGGTTCGCATGGCTCGCTCATTGTCAGAGATCCCTGTTGGTGATCTTTTCTGGCCGGCCATCTGATCTTGAGTGGTACTGAGCAAAGACAACTGTTAACTGAAAGTCTGTAGTTTGTTTGAGGTGCTGTTCATGACGCGCCAAGTCTCATATATACAGTAGTATGTATAGTAGCATTAAATAGCGAAACGTCAATAAAAACAACAACAATATCGTTTTGTTTTTCATTCATTGGCAAATGCGAAAAAACCTTTATTATAATCAATTCTACGACCAGATTTTGTTTGCGTTAACGCTTCATCATTAATAAAAGTGTCAAACCGAAATCAAATTTGGCTTATCTTGTCTGAAAGGTGTAATGATAAAATGTGTCATGATGTAGCTATTACTGTTTTAGAGAATAATGGGGCCGGCCACACAAGGACTCAATTCAGGCAAATTCTTCTTTTCACCTCGGAAATCCAGGTGTCATTTTGCTTTCCTACACATTAAATTTTAGAAGGAACTTATTGAAAATAGCACAGGCTCACATAGTGAATGACAGAAACTAGAATCGTATGTCTGTTGGCACATACAACCTTCCATCTGAAATCCTGATCAGTGTAATAACGCACATTTGTGTTATATGACTTAGTCCGGTGGTCAGATTGCATCAAAATACCAAGGGACTTTAACCAAAGGCGCTCAGGACTAAACAGTAATTTTAATTAACGATTTATTTACTTCATAATGAGTTGAGATATTCATCATACTACTGTTTTACGAGCAAAATAACCTGCAGTTTATTCGACTACACACGCGTATATACTACCAAGTGAAATTCACATTCCATATGAAATTTCATTGTCATTATACATAGCTATATTAATGTTAGAAGGTTAAAGGAGAACTTACATGACACAAACGTGTGTGCAGTTCAAAAGCAGCTTGCAGCTTGCTCTCCTCGCTTGGAGATACTCCCAGTTTATACACATTTTCGTAATACTTTGGCGCAATATTTTCAGCATACACCTGTTTACAGAAAATTTTACGAATGAAATTATTCATAGATTCTAATAAAATTTGAAATCAATGACACTTATGTCATGAATAAGACATCAGACAAAGCCATTCTCTCGTGATTTTGAGGCATACAGACAGACCACTTGAGAAGGTGTAAATTTCCTGACTATTTTGGGTCGTCGGGATGGTAAAAACCAATGAAGCCTCGAGATTATATTGGTGATACGCCTCAAAATCGTTCTCAATGAATCCACTCCTAGTTACTTATAATAGCGATATAAGCATAAAACATGGACACTGTGGTAGAGCATAAATTCATTATAGATAAGATTTTGTTTTGATAAATCACACAGTGTTGTACAGTAATACTATTGATGACGTTTCGAGCACAAACTATTGCTCATATCATGTCATAATCATATCAACTTGATATGACTATGAGTGATAGTTTGTGCTCGAAACGTCATCAGTTAATATTACTGTACAACGCTGTGTGATTTATCAAAATGAAATTTTATCCACAATGGAGTTATACCTACAATTTCATTGAAACTATAAAACTCAAGTTTTGAAGTCGTGTGATTATAAATGATGAAATGATTATGAAAAATAAAGGAATTGTCTTCGACACTGTGTCATCCAGTAAACAGTAATACTGTTCTACTGTGTGATACATCTAATAAACAAACTAATACAGAATCACTTACTACCACAAATGCCAAAGTTTTACACATATATGAGTATGAATTCACTTGTGATAAAAGGCTTTTTTTTCTCTACACTCCCCGTAGTTGTAATTTCATCAGTTTGACAGATAACAGTCTTCAATTTACAGTTTTCGATTAAACCTGAAGACTACTGTGTAAATTGTATGACGTTAACCAGCGCAAATTCATGTAGAGCGAGTTAGACATCACCAAATTCCTGTGAGGATTTTCAAGCCTAAAATTTTCAGCATTTTATGAAATTTTCGACAGCAGTCTACTCTAAACTTCAGAAATGCCCAGGTCCCAACATAGTCAGTTATTTCACTTGCGTATTTAACATCAAGTCGGTGGCACAGTGGTTAGGACTCTCGCCGACCATGCACATGGTCCGGGGTTCGAGCCCACGCCGACGCACACCTGATATCTACGGTCGGCCTGCGAATTTTGGGCTACCGATATCCACGCTGAAAATTCTACACTTGTACCAAAAATACAGTGTGGAATCAAGCTGTAATCAAAAAAAAAAGTCATTCCGTATTATCAAAATATAAATTAAATTATCACTTAGCTCACAGTCAGTAGCCGAAAGTGACTAAAGAGTGGATTTCAACTGAAAGTAATCACAAATTTATCAAAACACCTGTCCAGTACTCCCAGGTTTTCCAGTGGTTTTCTAAATAATGTCAGCTCATGATGAAATCCTGTAACCAACCTAATCGCCATAAACCAACACTTAAATAATCACAAAATGTTTCATTTGCAAAGTGACGAGTATTCGAATCAATCGATCGTTCACACTGGTTGATCCACTATTATTTAACTTTTATTTATTGCAAAAAATTGTTATTTTCCTTCCGATGTGGTAAGAATTTATTGAATAAATGTAGATTTTTAAAGTAATTACCTGTTTTTCACAAGCGCCCTTATAGGAAGCGAATTTTCCATCTGAAATCTAAACAGAATTGAGATTTTAAGGAATGGCTATCCCGACAAATTTATCAAGAAAACATGACAAAGAAAGCGGGGGAAAAGGCCTATTCACTATCTGTAAACAAGAAGCCACTTTATATACGACTACAGTTCAAGGGCGATGGATATACCAAGTGAGATAATAACGAGGAAATTAAGAAACACAGTCCAAAGAACTTTTAATGCTGGCGGCGAACTACACGTATTATTCTCTAGACGACCGATGGTTCTACCTGGACTGAAAGATGAAGTACCTAGGCCAAACTAGCCACTTCAAATCGTATCTACCAGTTCAACTGCGCTTGTGGAGCGAGTTATATTGGCTGTTGCTCTAGGAACTCGATTTTTCGTGCTCACTCGAGAACATCTCCCACCATGGCTGAGTAAAGGTGCAGTGAAAACCATTGACAGTTCGATATTGGACCATCTGATGACAACGGGCCACCGGATTGAAGAATCCTTCTCTGTCATCATCTACAGGGTGCCCAATAAATTGTCAAAATCATCGAAGCACCGCATTCTCCAAACAGCAGAGGCTATTGTGATTCACGTGAAACAACCAGTGCCCTGTGTTCAAAAGAAGCAAGTGCAACCAGCCACTAATACTGCCCTGGCCGGCCTTCAGTAGAGACTATAAATTCATGAATTTGTAAATATTATCTTTCCTAATTTTTTCTGACATTCAGCTTATTTTATGTTGATGCTACTGAGCTTTAATCTATCAGTATTCTATGTTATTTAAACAGCAACATTAATGTTGTTCATAACACTAATTCACTCATTCACTATTATGGATGGATATATAAATGTAGAGCCTGATGATGAAGGGTTTATCGAAAAGAGTACTCTTTGTTCAGTATCCATTCTTTTGAAAATTGTAAAGAATATCCAATGTAACGACTGCTAATGCATGCATCAGAATAAAGTGAACTGTCAATAGTAACCTGCAGATAAGAAATAAATTCTTCTAGGCAATTTCAAGACTCTACAAGTGACTATTGTTTTGGTGAAAGTTGTTCCTATCCCAAGACTTCGCTTTGACTTTATTGACTCACCCCACTGAAACACTTTCGTTGTCTGAAGGGTTGAAAATTTAATCACGATATCCTGGACCTTTAGGTTTCCTCACCGGAACAGAGGTTGATCCACCTGTTCAATTATACAGTATGTAGAATTCCGCCAGTATACTAATTTGTAGTGGTTGGCAAACTCTTTGTTGTCGAGTGAATTAGGGACAGTTTCTGTTGCTGGTATTTATATACACCTTCGCATATGTGAGGTGCTAAATTTACGTTAAACAATTTCTGTGTTCAGCGAAGAGCAACCGATGAATTAAACGATGGTGACACCAACTTCCCTCAAACAAACCGTTGTTTTTGCTTAATTCCAAGTCAGCCCTTTTTAACCCAAACTTAATGTTCGGCTTGTTTTCCTTCACGTTGTCTAGTGGAACATAGTGCTTAAAGCTAGACGGTTTGAAGTTTCTGTAGCAGTGATGATCATTTTTACAGGATGGGGTTGCTGGCCTCATGCCCAACCTTCCCTCTTTACCAGCTTTATTACTAGCTTAGCGAGGTAATAGAGTGCGTCGGTCGGGGATCGGACCCTGAACCATGTGCATGGTCGGCGAGCATCCTAACCGCTGTGCCACTGACTTGTTCGGTTTATCGGATAGAAATGATGAAACCACACTGTCGGTCACCATTTCTTTGTGATTGTAATTCACGATTACTTTTAACTAACAGAGGAAATGTAGGCACAGAGATGGAGAGAGAGATCTGTGTCGGCATATGGAATCCACAAGACGTTTCCGTCAGTCGGAAGTGAGGGTTCTGCACAGAAACATACTGTGATGTGGGGTGACTTAATAAAAATTTCCGTCAGCCCTACTCTACGGATGTCTGATAATACACTGTAGCAGGATTTGAATAGGCATCTTCCGCTGAAAGTCTTCAGTAGTATTCCTCAAGCTGCAGTTCTTTCTTATATCCTGACAAACAGCAATAACTGCAAAGTTATCCTGTGTACTGCTGCGCACCGTAAATAAACCAGGAGAAAATAGCGCCGAATCGGCAAGTAGGTTAAATTAGTACTCTTTGTCAAGTGAATATATCATCATCATAAAGCACCTGATCAGTATTAATTATACAGCTTGCTTACATGAATCGTTTGGGTTCCCCCATTAGTATCAATGGAAAATAAAGGACAGCCTTTTGTGATGCTCAGAATCGGAAAGTAGATATCATCTAAATTGAAATCGTCAATTCCCTGTTGTGACGTTGATGTCTTGGATAGATTCTGCGAAGAAGGCGACAACAAATCCCATCCACCAAATAATCTTTCGATCAAACGAGTTGTCTGCCTTCTTGTCTGCTGGAGAGAAATACTTCCATATTCCACACAGGATTTGTAGAATTTACGAACAGTATTTAGCCGAGTATCATTAGTGGAATACGACCCATTAGCTGTGTGGTAATTTGGAACAGGAAATCTCATCAATGTGTAATTAATATTAGTTGACAAAACAGTCTGAAGCTGTTAAACATATAACACGCATACATTTCAGTAAACGACTGCCGCGACTTCAACCTGGCATATACCAACACCTGCACGACTTAACTATTCAAACTGCTACCAAAAGATTCACATATTCCAACTGGATCTGAATGAATTGTCGTACTGATCACTTTCGTATGCAAAGACGTACGTGTGAAGCATTTTGAAGAAATTATCAAGACTCTACGTCAGCAAAGACCGTATTTTTCCAGTTACTATAGTGGATAGATAGTATTTATGTAGCTGACGGCATCTCACAATGAAAGTTAATAAAGTTCCATTTTTCACGTGTTTTCCACTTGCTCTGTTAAACCAGAGACACAAGTGAAGGACGGTACTTCAAAAAATTCATTTCCTCATCAAATATTTTATTGCGCCTAGTACTGACGTCGATTCCATCATTCACAATATAGCTCCATATATTTTACTGCATACAGACAATTATTCCTTAACTGACGAAATCAACAGAAATATTGGCAAAAAACTATATACTACTGATTTGTTGAAATAAGTGGCTGTATGTTATTCACATCAACCAGTAGTGACTGCAAGCCAGACAGAAGTGATCTGACCACCAGGCTGTTATCTCGTCAAATTTGAGGACGAAATAATTTGCACGCTGCGAGTTTGATTTGGTAAGGTATGGCCAGTTCGTTCACATGTAACCGTCCAGAAATCAGTTGGTTTGAACTAAAGTGGCTTCCTGAACTGGTAATAATAGTAAATCTATTGAAAACTTTGTTACGTTAATTAATCATATTCATTCATATATCCGAGTGACTTCCGAACTCGAATCAATTGACAGACTCGGTTTCCTGGATATTACTATGACTAGGACAGATGATGGAAAGATTCAGCGGTGTATTTTTCGTAAAAAGACATGGAGTGGACAATACCTTCATTTTACCAGTTTTGTTACTATCCAGTATAAACGTTCCCTAGTGAAATGTTTGTTCTCAAGAGCCCGAAAAATATCCACTAGTGACACATTGATGGATGAGCTTCGACACACACACATTCATTTTATTAGCTAATGGTTATCCGGAAAACTTATCACCTGTCACAGTAAAGAAAGACCACATCTCGAAAAGATAGCTTCTGTACCAAAGAAAGCTATCTTCATTAACCTACCATTCAACGGTGACCAGATTATGCAGTTGACAGCTAGCTCAAAGACTTCGGTCAGCCATCAAACGCACATTCTACGTCCCATCTCTTTTTCTCACTTGCCGAACATTTTCGATCCCTGTATTTACCTACGATTAAAGGACGAAATTCTGTGGAGTCTACTTCAAACTGTATCTACAAGTTCACCTGCAGTTGCGGTGACACCTATATACGTAGAACCAACATAATGCTCCAATGTCGTCGAAAAGAACATGTCCCATAATGGCTACTAAAGCATATAGAAAATCCCAACGCGAATAATCCTAATAGAAATCCAGCATCATCATCATCCATTGCAAAACACTTATTAATGTCTGGTCACAAAATCAATATTAATTAATGATTGTTTCACAATTATTTCATGTACCTCTAGTTCACGGTTGGTTATTGAAGGTGGTGGAAGCACTCTGGGGATTATTCACATACAGCCTAAACTGTGTGTACAAAGAACACAATAGACTTCAATCTTCGTCTACCATGGACTGTCTCCATGACCTATCTAAATATGATTGGTCATTAGTATGTACTTTTGTTTTTTATTTAACTGAGTAATTGTCATGAAGTTTATTTTATTATTGTGAGCGATGTTTCTAGTTGTAAAGCGGTTGTAGGGAAACTACGAAACGACGATATCATCTCGTGAAATTTGTTTTCTTAATGCCTTATTCAATTTTATCAATGAGACGAATTGTTTTAATAATATCATCATTGTTGTGAGACGATAGTGAAAAATGGTGATGTGAGCTCACAAACTATTCTTACCAATTATTTTCCAGATGTCACGACGTACATTATTTTGGATTTCCTACTTCCTTGTAATACCCAATTCACCTTTCGGAATAGTGTGATTATTTTCCCAATCAGAGCAAGCATATTGATAGAAGTCATTACATGGGTCAGTGGGAGAAGAAGCGTTTGTAAGTTTATAACTCTGTTTCACGGAGATGGCTACAAAGGAGAAGTATTCACACTAGCATAAGAGTAAACAAAAAAATGCAAACAAAAAATAAAGCAGACCAAAGACGAACGGAATTATGAATCAAAAAAGTGAACACAAAACATCAGAAAAGATGAAATCAACCTCCAAAGCTGAATTAGTTGGTTTGATGCCACCCGCCGATAGGTGACAGACAACATACTTGTTGCTAACTGGTTCACGCCTGTATTCACACCATACATTCAAAAAGAGCACAACCGACAAATGTCATCACAGAATTCACTTCATATTAATTTGTTTATTAGACCTATCACACAGTGAAACAGGACTCTTTACTGAATGACAAAGTTTCGAACAAAATTTATTGTTCATAATCATGTCATCAATTATAACCACACGACTTTGAAACTTGAGTTCTATAGTTTCCTTTGTCCTCTCCTATTTTTCATCGTTGGTGTAGTAGAATTTTCCAGATATCTGGACGAAGAGGCATTGAATCATTCATATTACACGCATTCGCAGTTGATTCGATGAACAAAGCTTCCGTTATCAATATCTCCCTCCACTCTGTGACATCAGATTTGAAAACTGTCATCTTATCCAATCAACCCTATTGTATGGTTATGTGTAATTGCATGTAGTGAGTGCTATAGCTGAACTATATTCTCTAGACTTCTTATCTTATTTGGGTGAACCAATCTATATTTTGCTAAGTTTTCATGTTCGGCTAGTCTGACTAACTGCCCTTGTTCTAGGTAGCGGCAATTCAATTCACTTATGAATTGGAAAGTCAGGAAGGGGAGCTTCTAGTGTTAGATTGCAACGTAAAAAGGAATGAAGATGGGAAGTTAAGCACACTAGTGTTTACGGAAAACCCACAAACTCAAACAGATATTTGGACTTGCGATCGTAGCACACAATTTATGTCAGTGAAAATAGGTATGGTGAAATGTTCAAGGGACAGAGCACAAAAACTAAGTAGTACCAAGGAAAATCTAAGACAGGTAGTTATACACTTAAAAAACAGACTTGAAACTTAATAATTACCCTGATAAATTGGTCAGGAAATATGTAGGGAAATGTAAAAATAAAACAAATAGTAGTGATAGTGATTATAAGAATGATAACAATAATAATGATAATAATAATAGTGATAATAATATTATTAATGACGACACCAACAATAGGGAATCTAAATCATCAATAGTAATCCCATACAAGGAAGCAACATAGGAAACCTTACTCAGAATTCTTAACAAGGCAGGAATAAAAGTGGCCGGTATTCAAACCTACGAACTCAGTTAAAAACAAGCTTTCTTGGTTGAACGATCAATCCTATGGAGCCTTTAGAACAAACCAATTTAGCTTATCTAATACCCTACCTCCAGTGTTTGTCAGGTCAAACACATAGGTCAAACTAGTAGAACAGGGGCAGTCAGTCAGACTAGCTGAACATAAAAACCTAGCAAAACCTAGATTAGTTGACCCGACTAAAGTAAGAAATCTAGAGAATATAGTTCAGCTATAACACTACATGCAATTACACACAATCATACACTAGGGTTGATGGGATAGGATGACAATTTTAAAATCTAATGCAAGAGCAGGGTGGAGAGAGAGGTTGATAGTAGAAGCCTTGTTTATCGAATCAACTTCAAATGCGTGTAATAAGAACGATACAACACCTGTCCAACCAGATATCTGGAAAATTATGGTACCCCAGGGACAAAAATAGAAGAAGACAAAGAAAACTATAAAACTTAAGTTTCCAAGTCGTGTGATTATAATTGATGACATGAATATGAAGAATAATGAATTGTGTTCGAAACTGTGTCATCCAGTAAATAACGCTGTTTCACATTGTGTAATGGCATATCTAATAAGCAAACTAATATGGAATTACGTACTACCTCAGTGATCAAATTTTACACTTATATTAACACAATTCATTCCTTACACTGTAAATACACCAAAAAAAATCACTGAGAAATGATGCAGTCATCGCGTCACAGAGAATATCTCACAACAGACACGCATTGAAAACACGTCGGTCATGGATAGATAATTCAGGTAATCTGACTGCACTGGTTAGTTAATCACTAGTAAGATTGCCATCTGCTTCGAAGTTAGATATCTCATCAGTGTAGAAGGCCACGACGTAAGTGGCATCATAGACAAAATCAAGCTGAAATCTGCTGGAGAACAGTAGGTATCAGTGATACACATAATAATGAATAATAGGTGATACTATACGGATTAGAGACTTGGCGTGTCACAAAGAGAACCTCAAACAAACTACAGACCTTCATCAACAGCTGCCTTCGCTCAGTACTTCGCTCAAGATCAGATGGCCGGCTGGTAAAGATAAGCAGCAGGGACCTCCGGCAATGAACGAACCAACACAACAGGAACCGATTGTGCAACAAATAAGCAGGAAGAAATGGAGGTGGATTGGTTGGCCATACTCTGAGGAAACCATCAAGTGACCTCACTAAACAAGCCCTCGAGTGGAACATGAATTCTAAGCGGCGAGTTGGTCGTCAGAGCGAGGGTGATGTGAAGAGGAGATGAAAGCATATGGGCAGACTTGGAGCCAGGTTAAAACTTTAGTGGAGGATCGAACGCAACGGAAACGTTTGGCTGAAGCCCTATATTCCTCTAGGAATAAAGGCAATAATAATACTGTATCACGAAAGTGACCAAGAAAACAAGTTTAAGTAAATTCATTTGTTCCAGTTGAGTCAGTTGATGTGTTTTATCGTGTGATGAATCTAAAAACTGAAAAAACTGAACATTGATTTATTGATTTATTTGACTCATTAATTCTTGATAATTTGTGTACCATATGTTTCTCTTTTCCGCGCTTTAGTTATTTTAATTCAATATAGAATATTGCAGACCATCAGTATGTATTTGGTAGTTTGGTTGAGAAATACAAAATATGTTCGATTTCCGCATACGGTTGGTTCATTATGAAATCTTGTTAGCCGGTACTGAGGCCGTGAAAGAAGTGTTTATGCGTGAGATAAGGAAATCCTTCCTGTGAAAGCATTGCAAGCACTAATTAGACTTCAAATCTTGGAGCCCTAAGTGCTACTTGCACCTGAATGGAATGAAATGCGAATATATATAGTAGCTTATCTTTCCACATTGTGCGTCGGTGGTTCAATAGTGAATGCTCGCCAACTATACATTTGTCTCGGGGTTTGGTTCCCGGCCAGCGCGAAATTGTACTCCCGCCAACCGGTTGTGAGCCGGACAAAGAGAGAGGGTTCGGGTGTGCGGCTAGGAACCCCATCCCGTAGAAAGACAAGCGTCACTGAAATTTCATAGCTGAAGCTTGGAGCCCTATGTTCCACTTGGAAGGCTTTGGAATAAAATCAAAAATCAATAAATATCTTTCCACATAACTTTGGTTGTATGTATTCATTACGTCAATCTGCGGTAACTACAAACCCCATACATGTTGCCATTGATCTCAAAATAATAATGATGTTAACAGTGAATTATAATGGAGCTACATTGATCGCATTTCAATAAAGGTGTCTCCGATGATGATTTTGGCTAAATGAAGTCATACTGTGTATTTTAGATTATGTCAACCAAGTTAAAAAATGTGTCAGTATGAAATGGGAAACAGAAAACTCAACGAGGCGTTTGGAGTAAACAGAGGAGTCAGACATGGGTGCTTATTATCACCCACGGTGATATTCCTGACTGTGGTGGACTGCATTATGAGTTAGACAGTAAGTGGGAAACGAGAAGACAGGGATATCCTGGACTGACGCGAAGAACCTAAGAGACCTGGATTTTGCGCGTGGATGATTTATGTTTGATGTCACACACAATCGAAGACTCACAAGCGAAAACCGACAAACTGGTCGAAGAAGCAGGACAGAAGAAGACAGGACTCCAGGTGAACATAGACAAGACGGAGGTTATGAAAATAACCAACCAACAACAGCAACAGCATCCAACATCAATCACTATCAACGGGAGGGATTTGAAAAAGGTTACTTCATTCACTTATCTAGGGAGCATTGTCTCGACTAAAGGCAGTCGGAACGGACAAGGATGTCAAATCGAGCGAGAATCGGGAAGGCGAGAAATACATTCATCAACCTGAAACCAATCTGGAAATCTTCGTCACTCAGCATCAACAACTAAATTCGGTCGGATCTTCAATACAAACGTCAAGTCAGTCAGCTCTTCTATACGGAACGGATCAGAAACTTGGCGCGCGGATCACAAAGAATATTTCCAACAGCCTGTTGCAGACCTTCATCAGCCAACAGTTGTCTTCTCTGGCTCTATACTGAAGATCAGATGGCCGGGACGGAAACTATGGGAACAACCAAACAAAACAAGAAGCAATGGCCCAACCAACAAATATGCAGGAGAAAGTGCATTGAGATGGATTGGACACTAGTGGCTGAGGAGGCATGGCGCCGGGTGACATCGCGCGCGCGTCAGGCCATTTCTCGAGTGGAACCAGGCCGAAAGTTTTTAAAGTAAGATAAAATATTCATTTTGCGATTCATCATGCGGTCACGTTGATTAGGGAACCAGAGGAAGATCAAAGGGACAACTGGACATCTGTTTCCTCCTTATTTGGGAATACTACTCAATAGAACGCGACCACTACGTTTCGAACCCGAAACCTTCTGATTCCAAGGCAAGCTGGTTGACGATTCAGCATTTGGGACCCCATTCAGTGGTCAGACGATGAATTCCAATATCTGCCAATTCATGATATGTATATATGATAGCGCAGCTGCCAGTCAGTGTTATCATCGAGTATTAGTTCTCATTCCCGACCAGGTAAACTCCACTGGTCAAGACTTTGCAGTAGAATTGCAGAAAAGGTTACCTTATAGCCATATGCTAGTCTGTTGGTTACGCGAAAGTCATGGATTGGTGGAATTTGGAATTCACGTGCGTGCCATTGGTTCAGGTCGCGGTGGCTGAATGGTCTATGAGCTTACCTTCCAACTTGAAGGTCCTGGATTCGAACTCTGGCTGGTGAGCGCTGCTAAAGGATCTCAAACTAAAGGGCGGAACAGCTGTTCAGTGCTTCCTTGTTTTTCCAACGGTCCTCTGACTGCTGCTTAGACTGGAAACAAATCAAACCCTACAAACTGCTTCCTGGAAAAAATCGATTTATGTAAGAAGATGCAGCAGTCACACACTTGATACTTGTGTTCCAGTTGTTGTTATTTATACCGAAAATCTCAATTCACTGTCACAGTCATCAAAAGCTGAACAATAAGTAGTGTTTAGGATGGTTTAAGACGAATCTAGCTGTAATAGAGATTTGTAGCTAAGAACGATGATTTGTAAATATCCCCTTGCATCTCATCAGGTAGGACGAGAAGTCAATATAAGAAGTTATATGCTCACATCACTAAGTACAAAAATTCTACAATACCCTATTTACCCCGTATTTTATATGATGGAGAGACTGTTAGACGTGAAACATATAAGTTACTATGTAATTAGCCAAGTGAATCAACCCTTTCATCGTTCATCTTTCCGTAATTTTATGGTGTCATACTTTCTATCGTTTAATTATAACTCAGCTATTTTAGTTGTTATTACTATTATTATTACAATTTTGTACTGTAAACATATTTCTCTCCTTATTGCATACTGTAATTACTACATAGCTGGTATAACAACGTTTTGTTATTATTACTATGTAATGTTTATTTTTTGTCGTTTTGAGTAAATTAAATGCAATATTTTACTAAACGCTAAAAATTCCTTGCTGTATCATTGGTACTGTTTTTGGAATAAAGCAAAAATTATTATTATTAATAATACTGTTCTTTGAGCTGGTTGGTTTAGTTGCTGAGCTTTCGTCGTCCGTCCTTCTGGACAACATCTGCTTTCAGGGCAATTTTTAACACAAAGTGAAATGATTTAAATTTTTCATGAGTGATAGAATTGCGTCCCCCGGTAACCATCTTTACTTATGTACTGATCACTTTTTATTGTGATCACATGATTTACTTATATTATTTAGTCTATATTAACGTGTTTTTTAATTGCACATTCGTTTGAGTACCAGGTAGGATGAATTTTCATCCTGCCATACATGGAAAATATCTCTAAAATAACAGCTTGAATACTTAAACCGTTTGATATAGATATAGCACAAAAACCAGTCGAATCGCTTAATTCGATATTATGCAAACCGAAATCCAACAGAAAAAGGAGATAAAATAATACCACTTACAAAATAAATAATTGTGTGAACTGTAACAGACATTACATTGCCCAAATTGGGCGTCCCCTTCGAATTAGAATCCAGGAACACAAATCAGCCGTGAAAAGACACGATATATATATATATTCCTGTTTCATATCAATGCATATAGACAATTGTGGACATCAGATTGATCGGGATAACGTCGAAATCTTAGACGGAGGAAATACTAAAAGTGCCAGGGAATTACTGGAAGCCTGGTACTCAAACTAATATGTAATTAACAAACACGTCGCAGTTGTTTCAATTTATTTTGTAGATGATGTTTGGTTTATGTTCTTTCGCTGTTGAGTATTTTGGTTGACATAGAAATGAGTGAAGTGACTTTGTTGATTTGTGTACGACGTCAGTTCCTAAAGGTTTGAAGAGTCTTGTAGTGATTTCTGACATATTCTTTATATATGGTATGGCGATTTTCTTTATGGTTTCCTTGGGTGCTTTTGGTTTGATAGTTAGGCTTGAGGGTATATGTCTCTTGATGAAATTCCGTGGATATCCATTCTTTTGGAAGACGTCCACGAGATATTTTTCTTCAATTTCTCTTAAGGTGGGAGTGCTGCAATGAGTCCTTGCTCTCTTGAATAGTGTTTGTATGCAATTCCTTTTGTGTGTTATTGGGTTGTTGCTGTTGTAATTCAGGATTTGGTCTGTGTGAGTTGATTTCCTATAAACTTGAGTTTCTAATTCTCCTGTAGTTGTTCGCCTGACTAAGACGTCCAAAAATGGTATTTTGTTCTCGGATGCCTCTTCTCTTGTGAATTTGATGTCGTTGAAGATGTTGTTTATTATGTTGTGAGTATCACCTAACACGTTTATTTTGGTTATTATAAATGTGTCATCGACGTCAAAGTTCAAGTCAAAGAAACAATCAGTCCCAATACAAGTAACCTAGAAGGTGTGAATACACACAAAACACACAACCAATCATGGCCAGGGTCACCCATTAGGAAAGATGATTAACAAACTCTTGAACAAATCTAAAACCTCACTTTAGTGAATTGAAGTATGTGCTGAAGATGTCGCCTAGTTGGGGGTGAAGTCTTCGCAAATTAACTATCCAGCTCAGAGAACACAACCACATCAAAATCGTCCACCTGAGCTACAAATCTTCTCTATCATTTCTAAAATGATCAATACATATGTAAAGATGGTTACCGGGAGATCCAATTCTATCACTCATGGAAAAAATGTGAATCAGTTCATTTTATGGTAAAAAACTGCGCTGAAAGGGGATGTCGTCCGGAAGGATGGACGACGACAGCTCCGCAACTAAGCCAACCAGCTAAGAGAACACTATTAATTGCAAAACTAGATGTACCCAATGATGAGATTTGAAATTGCGCACTCAACATATATATGTATATATATAATTGTAAAAGGAAGAACTTACAGAACACATAAACATTAGCAATTTAAAGTGGAAATAAAGTTAAATTACCGTTGCAGCAAAACAATGCAAAATAAAGGAGTACTGTAAAGAAAAATTGGGGTAAATAATCTTGAATTTTAAATGAGGTACCAGTGTGCACCGTAATTCCCTCAACCAAACCTCCACGATTCATTCTCTTTCAACAACTCCAATGAGCAATTTTTGCAACATAGACCTCGCTTTTATACTCAGTCAAGTAAAAAATATCTCAACTCATTTACTAATGAAGATATTTCGTTTAAAATCAGGCGATTTATGTCGTTCCAACATACTTTCTAGAAACCTTATTAACACAAGCTTGTCAGCGACGACCTCAACACACGCCAGACTTTTAAAAAGTATTTTTTTTATCAAGACACAAAAGAACAGAGTAGACATACGATAAGTGAAACTAAAACAGGGGTCATTAAACAAAGCAACTAGGTGAACAAATAGAATTCTATTGCATTCTTATGATATTAATTGGATTTATGCTGATTAAGTCAGCCAAATCAGCTACAAACAGCGTGTTAGTGAAGGTAATGGGTAGACAAACATTGTTCTTTCTGATCTCTGATCTTCAACTACCAGACTTGAGTTTTTTAAACCGTGAAAATTCTCTTCACTGCTAAAGTGTGGATTGCTTAAAAAAGACTATGTCATACTTCGTAGAACTCTGAAGAGTGACTGTCAGTAGGACGAGTGGCAGCTATCACATTGGGCTATATCGTTGACACTGTCACGGATAGGCACTTGATGTCATGCAACAAATTTGCTAAAGGAATTTTGTCAAACTCTGAGCACCCACTCCATACTCGCAGCTCCAACCTTGTGTCTCCTCCTCAGGTAAAACAAGAAGTCTTTTCAGAAGACTTTATGCATGTACATCTAAGTACAAAAATCCTACTATACCATATTTGGCACGTGTTTTATGTGATGAAAATAGTCTCAGACATGAACTGACTAACCTTCTTCGCACTACTAAATAAACCATTTCTTCCACCCTTACAGTACCAAACTTTATAGTTATTGTATTTTTTATATTCATAATCCTCTCAATTTTTCTGTTTTTATTTGTTTATATTTTTCATAAGTGTGAACCTCATTTAAGCTGTGTTATAACTGTTAATTTTGTTATTTCCCCTCACCATGCTGGTATATCAACAGAACATTAGATTCAATACTCTATAATAACATGCTAAAATTTCCAAACTGACTGTATCGACGATACAGTTTGAAACAAACTCACTGTTGTTATTATTATATTTATTATTCTCAATTCGTGCTTCGAATATTTTTAACTTTATATCGTAAATGTGGACAAATTCCTCTGGTTACTTTTGTTTTAATTTTTAATTTTATTTATATTTTAAGTAAATCAGATGCAAGGTGTTGTGACAAACGCTGAGATTTCCATTCTGTCTTATAAGTACTATTCGTCTTGGAATAAAGTAGATTATTATTATAAGCCATACGAGCCTTCGCTATCCGTGATGAGATTTCGTCAGCGATCAAACCGCTAGCGTTGGCTGATGTAACTTCCAAGATAAGTGAAATCGTCAACACACTCAGCCACCAATGATTCAATCTATTCCAGTCCTTTAGCATCATTTTACAAGGTATTCAAAAGACTCTGCATTTAATCAGCCTCTTCATCTAAGAAGACCAATCCACATTTAGGATACTGGTTACCTACAAAAGCTCTACTCTCTGTAAAAAATGTTTTCACATGGGAATTTTTTTTTATTACAGCTTGATTCCACACCGTAGTTGGTGGTACACGTATGGAATTTTCAGTGGAACCAGGCCGAAAGGTTAGCGGTGACTGGGACGTCAGTGCAAGGGTTACATGGAGGAGATCGTGTGAAGAGGATTTGAAACAGTATGGACTAACATGGATGCAGGCGAAAAGTACAGCAGAAGACGGAAGCAAATGGAGACGTGCAGTTGAAGCCCTATGTTCCACTAGGAACCCAAGGGAGCAATAATAATATAATTATAATTGTTGAAAAATCATGTGTCAGAGTGAACAAGAAAAGAAATCTGTGTACTGACGTCTTCTTATTCAATGATATTGACATTATGAAGTTGTTTTTATTCCAGAGGAGCACAGTATTTCTGGTGTGATGAATTGTATGTGTGTGTGGGAGACATCATATCAGAACGGATCATGTTGGAACCATCTTCGGACTGCACAGTACAACTTATTTTTTTTAATGATTAGCATGATAGAGTTTTTCTTTGATTTCTCAAGCCATTTAAAACAGTAAAACCATACATGCTCATTGATAGTGTGCTCTATGATAAGTCATAATTTTGCACTGATATTGAAATTTCAATTGTGAGTAAACGATTTTGAAGGCTACTTCATTCATCCGCGCATACTTCTTCGTGTTCTAGGATTGGCATATTTGCTAAATATGATTGAAATTTGTACAGGCAGCAAATGTGACAAAAACCGTTGGGTGGAATGAATTCATTAATTTTGGTAGGTAACATCAAATGAGAATACATCACTATTTTATTTGATCAACACTGAAGTCTAACATGCAAAGAATACATGGATATTGGTGACAACAGCATAAATGGGATGAAACTGAAATACATAGGAAGCATCGTTTCAACTACAGGTGAATGGAACTGACGAGGACTTCAAAGCGAGGATTTCGAAAGCAAGACAAGCTTTCATTACTCTCAAGTCTGTTTGGAGACCAACCCTCAGCATTCAGCATGAAAAACAAGATCCAGATTTTCAACCTAAATGCGAAGTCAGTGCTACTTACTGTATAGATAAGAGAATTGGCGCGTCATAAATAGCACCTCAAACAAACTACAGACCTTCATCAACAGCTGTCTTCGCTCAGTACTTTGCTGAAGATCAGATGGCCGGCCAGAAAAGATCAGCAGCAGGGATCTCTGGCAATGAATGAACCAACCTAGTGTAAACCGATTGTGCAACAAATAAGCAGAAAGAAATGGAGGTGAATTGGCTGGCCATACTCTGAGAAAACAAACCATCAAGTGACATCACTAGACAAGCCATCGCTCGAGTGGAACCCGACTGAACTAGAAGAGGCGAGTTGGTCGTCAGTCTGAGGGTGACTTGGAGGAGGAGGTCATGTGAAGAGGAGATGGAAGCATGTGGGCGCACGTGGAGCCAGGCGAAAACGTTGTCAGAGAACCGAACGCAATGGAGACGTTTGGCTGAAGCCCTATGTTCCTCTAGGAATTAGAGGTAATTATAATAATGACAATAGATAATTATTGCAGGGCGAATTATATCAAGAAGTGAAATTCACAGAAGGCATACATCGACCCGTGACAAGCAGTAACCCAATATCTTTATAATAATGATGAATACTTCGTTCTTTCAAGGCAGAAGAAATCGACTGTCTTTGAAAAGAAGTTAACGGAATAAATATTTGGAAAACCACTAATTTACTATCTGGTTACAATATTTAAAAATTAATCTGATGCTCAAAAGAGACTGCCCTTATTCAGCTAGGTAGACACCTGGGGTTCTAGTGGGAAGCCGTGACCAGTGGGGTGCGGCAGGTCGAAGGTAAGGGACCAAATAAGCAAAGTAGATATTGCGAAGTGGTCTCACTATGCCATCAACTGGAAGAAGTCAGAATTCATGGACTGGCCAGTGAATCGGGTGCCGGTGGCTAAATGGTCTACGAGCTCGCCTCGTAACCAGAAGGTCCTGGACTAGAACCGCGGTGGAAGCGTACTGATGGAGAGTCCCAAACTAGACTGACGAAACATCTGTCCAATACTTCCAGGTTTTCCAATGGTTCTCTAACTGATGTCAGCTCCTGATGAAGTCCTCCAACCAGTATTGATGACACTTTGGATATTTTAACTGACTTTATGATTACTTTCTCCTTTTCTCTCAGACTTTATACCACTTTTCTAACGTCCGCATATCACCCAGTGAAGCATTGCTCATTATTTGTCATCACTCCTGTGTGATCTCTAATTAAACGCTTCTCTTCGCATTTTTCCGGTAGCGTTGATAATGTATTGTTTTACGACCATGATACAGTTGGAATAAAGTCAAAATTTGAATAAGGCATTAAGAAGACAAATTTCACGAGATGATATCGTCATTTCGTAGTTTCTTTACAACCGCTTTACAACTAGAAACATCGCTCACAATAATAAAATAAACTTCATGACAATTACTCAGTTAAATAAAAAACAAAAGTACATACTAATGACCAATCATATTTAGATAGGTCATGGAGACAGTCCATGGTAGACGAAGATTGAAGTCTATTGTGTTCTTTGTACACACAGTTTAGGCTGTATGTGAATAATCCCCAGAGTGCTTCCACCACCTTCAATAACCAACCTTGAACTAGAGTTATGTGAAATAATTGTGGAACAATCATTAATTAATATTGATTGATCTAAATGTGTACAGAAAATATTAGAATCACCTTCCAAGAAAAGGCATGCAAACAATAATAATAATAATTTACTTTATTCCAAAACAGAACTTGTGATACAGAATGGAATTTTCAGCATTAATCATAATGTTGCATCTAATTTCTTCAAATTATAAGTAAAAATTAATCACACAGAAAATTTTCCACATTTACAATAGGTGGAATGTCAAAAACATGCAGCATATAAAATGGAAATATCAATAATAATGATAACAGCTAAGGTAGTAATAATAATAAGAATACAAGTGAAAATCCCCGTGGGCTTGTTTCACACAGTATTGTCAATGCGGTATAGAAATCCTAGCGTGTTTAAAAATATTGAATATAATGTTCTCTTTACATGATATGGTAAGGGAAAAACAAGGATTACAGCCGTCATGGAGATAAGTTGGTGTCTGCAATTATGAAAGTAAAACAAACAAAGAAGCAACAGGACCATAAATATAATAGAAATAATAAAAGTAAAACTTGAAGGTATATAAGGATGGGTGGGGGAAATTGTTTATTTACTAGATGAAAAAAGGTTAGTTAATTCTTTCCTGACACTATTTTCATCGCATGAAATACGTGACAAGTATGGTATCATAGAATTTCTATACTTAGACGTGCGAGAATACAGTTTTCTGAAGTTACTTCTTGTTCTACCTGAGGAGATGCAAGGTGAAAGCTGAGGGAGGGTAAAGTGGATGCTCCAAGTCAG